GGCCCTTCCTTCGGCCCTCCTGGCCCTCCCCGCGCCGGGCCGCCCCCCTCTGTCCCCCAGCGCTGCCCCGGGGCCGCGCAGCGTGTTCAAGCACTTGCCCTCCACCGCCAGCCAAGGTTTCTCCTCATATAGTGTGTGAAAACGTAGGCGATGAAGAGCCCGCCCTGCCTCATGAACTAACTGTGCTGCCAGCCCGTTGCCAGCCCACCTGGCAGCTTCCGTAATGCGTATTTTCTTGGGTTTTGTTTCAAGGAGTTCGGCAAGCGCAGTGGCTCACCAAGACGAAGCTGGTGGAAGGCTTACCGCCGTCGGTGCTCAGCATCGTCGACAACCCGGCTCACCACCTCGAGGCCCACGAGGAGGGGGTAAAGCGTGCGATCTCACACGCGCGGCTCTGGGACACGACAGAAGTTGCTCCCAAGAGAGAACATTATTGGTAAGTCCTCGGTCGCAGGGAAAATCTTTCTGCGGCATGGTTATGGCTTTAGCAGAAGCCGGTCATCAAGCAGGTAGCTTAAGAACCAGAACTTTTAACACTGCAAAGAAAATCCATATGTAGATCCACTGCTGAGAGATTCACTCACTGTGCAAAACCGTTAGACCCTTTGTATCAGTTTGTCAACGTGTAAAACAAACAAACCCAACCAAACCAAAAAAACCCCAATTCTGAATATTGACAGTAGTACCAGTGTACACACATACTCTACATTAAAGCTTTTTTTCAGGCCAAGGCCTGTGTTTCAACTTGAGATCTACTTCTAGCTTACGTAGAATGTAATTTTTTTTAAATAACTAATGATAAGCATTACCTCTGCCAACTTGGAACAGGACTGGTGTGTGGGATATTAATCTGAAATCTGCGTTAGCTATTTGGAAATGTTACATTATTATATGTTTTACATACAGTAACGTTACAGCGTTCATGTTCCAGAAGCATCTGCCCACCATTATGATCACATTTTTTATGTAACTATTTTCTTTTTCTCATTCTAAAGCCCAGTACTCTTTGAGGACTTGATACATTTGTGTCGGTTAATGTCTCTGAAGTATCCTGCTCTGACGAAACGAATGTTGGCTAGAAACTACAAGATATCAGCTACGTGGGAAAGAGGTTAGTTGCTGCTCTGGTGGAAGCATTTAGCTACTTCCATTAAGCTGATAAAACAATTTCTGGAACCAAGTAATTCCTTCAGTTTTAAGTTGTGCTGTAAGGATGGGCAGCTCTGGAAGATGGCAGGATACTTGCCCTGTGGAGATTATTAGGGTGTCGGACAACGTCAACAAGATGGCAGGAGAAGAGAACTGATGTCTTAGAACTGATTATTTTTTTTTTTGTCCAAAATCTGTACTGTTGTTTTTCTACATACATTTAGTTAAGAAACTAACACCAGCAATTACTGGTATTTTAGAAGAAGAGCCTATAGCTGAGCTACTATGCGAGTTTAGTTTGGAGGTGAGGGGGAGAGAATGAGCCTTGCAGAACAACAACTTGCTAGAATGCTGCTGTCCAAAAGGAAATGTACGTCTTT